TTAGTATGATGAAATATTGATGAATGTCGGATTTAAAAAAATATATAAAAATTAAAATATAACTAGACCGTCATTTTAAAAATATTTAAAATAATTAGAAATATACGAATATCCGAACCGAAATGAACCGTTCCGATAGTCTCAAATACCGAACCGAACCGAAGCGAGAAATAAAAATCTTCGAACCGAACCGAACTGATCTTTTGGTACCATTCTAAAAATCGAATTTCGATACAGTTCCAGATATTTGTCAATCTCCGAACCGTACCGACCTATACTCACTCTAATACCAAGAGCTCAAAGTAGACTGACTCTTTATAATTTGACAATGTTGTGCAATATTGGCAATTAAGTGGGATTTCACATTTATATAATTACACTCCAATTTGAATATTGCATTTATCGGGTTAAGACATGACAAACAATATCACACATATCTAGGAGATAAATGCAAATGGTGTAAAAGGTCTAGGGAAAGTGTATTTGTCTTTTTGCTATTTGGAAGTTTAAGAGCAAACAATATGAACTTTAGGTTATTCTAACCACATATTTCATAAATTCTTGTATGATTTTTGCATAATTTAACTGGTTGATATGTTATTTAATTAATAAAAATAAATACTTATGATATAAATGGATAGAATTGTAAATGAGACGAGTTCGTACTCAAGTGCGTATCAAGCCGATCTAAGCTTGAATCATTAATTAAATAAGTTATCATTAAACAAACATGAGATCAACTTGTTTATCAATAAAAAATATATCGATTACTATATTTTGTTGGATTAAACCTTATCTACAAAGAATTTCGGTGGATCAATGTAACCTTAATCACTCAATAATTATTATTATCGTCATCGACTATTATTTAACTTGAGCATTGAAGTTTTTACGTTGGGAATCCTTCTTACCCTTTGCAAGTGATCGGGATTCAAATTTTCATAATTAGAAACACCATGAAAGCCGGGTTTTATTTGGGGCGAACCACATCACTATTCACCCAAAAGGATCGTTAAAAGATGATTCATATAAAATCATTTACTATTAAAGATTAAATTATGAAAAATTAATATAATAAAATGGGGTGAAAGTGGGAGTTGGAATTTGAGTGCCTCTTAAAGGGAAAGAATAGGTGAGATACAGAGATAGTAATGAATAATGATGGGAGGTCGGGTGCACGTGACCGTAGAGGATAACTCATCACGCATTGGGCCATTGTTCGAGTCCTTTCCACTTTCCACTGACGCTCAGCAGTTTTTATTTCACTCTTTTGTTAAAATATTTGGACAAAATAAAATGATAAGTAAAATACGTAAACAAGCATTTATATGTAAGTTAATTTTTATTTCATAAACAAGCATTTATACATAAAAGTTAGTTACTGTAGATAATCAATGATAAAAAATTCACGAAATGATTATGTGACAGGATAATAACTTTTTCCTATATTTATAAATCATATAAATAACTGAGAAGTTATCCTCGGACAAATTAAACGCCGGTAGTTTTTGAATTGACTTGATTAATTTGGGCAGATTAATAATGATTCTGACTTGATTAATTAAACGCAGTACATTGTATAATTTAAGTAATTCTAAATATTTCAGATTATTTTTTCATGAAAAAAAAAAACAAAAACTTGAGATTTTCATAAAGATACAAAAACAAGTCTATCTAAAGGAAAATATATTCTTATATACCTTACTTCAATTTTGGTTTGTTTTGAAGGGTCATCTTAAGCCCATAATTAAATAAAAAAGAACTACGAACAAAGCAATAATATTAAATCCTCAACAAAAAATATGGTTTATACAATACTCAAATTAATGGATGCAATTAGATCATTTATGATTGTAGTATCAAAATTATATTCATTAAATTATGGATGTCATATTCATAATTACTTGAGAAAAGGTCAGCTTATAACATGAAGGGAGATATAATTGAATGAGGCTAACCAATAATGCATTTGTGATTAAAAACAACAAAAACATCGTTTTCAATGCTAAGGGCAGTCAACTATGTATTGTGTGCTCCCCATACCTCATCAATATTCTAAGCATTTACAATTTAAAATTAATTTTACTTAAAAAATAACAATTGAATCCGATTTATTTTTTTTATTATTATTCTTTTTCATGTTTACTGTGTTTTTGGTATCATTTGTGTTTGCAGTTGATGGTTGCAATTTCTTTGCAAATGATTGGCTCCTTTGAGATCTTTTATGTCTACATCACTTCGTTTCTTCCCAAATCAAAAATAAAAATCGAAAAGGTAACTAATATAAAAATTTTTAGCATTGCCCGAATACTTGAAATTATGCATGTCATATACAAAAGTGTATGTTGTGCTTATAAGTGGCAATATTTAAATAGTTGGCAGTGATTTTCATTCTTTTTTCATCTTGTCTCTTTAGAAAAGTTTGACAATTGTTCATGAATTGTAGTTATATATGATGCTTTGAATGTTTCTTGTTATTTAGGTATCAATATATTCAAAAACTAGTTTAGCTACATATTGACAAGGAACTGAATATGTAAAAAAGGAAAACTTGGATCTTATTGTTGTGAAAAAGATATATCTCAACTACGTATGCTTACATACATATTCATGCGAGTAATTAAGTTAACGAACATTATATATCCACATTGATAGCACCGATTTTTTTTTTACCGGAAAAGTAAGAATATATATATGTTTAAGTTAACGAGTCATTTTCCGGGCATTCAATCCAAACCACGCGTGATATCTGTTTTCTTATCATATTTACACATTTATGATAAGTACATATATATATTTTCGTGGGTGTATTTAAAAATGTGTATTATATAATTTAAGATGACTATATAATACTTCTCTATTTGATTGATTTTTTTTTATTTCTCTTGGTTTATGATATATTTGGACTTGCTACCATACTCGGGATATAGTCGAATTAGAGTATCATTAAATTAGAGTATTTCCAATGGTGTATGAATTACTTTATTCTATTGTCGTTTGAATAAAATGTTCTATATGGCATTAAGAATGTCTAAAAATTTGTATTGATATAGGACTTCTAAATATTTTTTACTAAACACTAAATTATTTTTTATTTCTCTCTATTCTTCCCCAATTAATTTATTTTGCATGTATTTTTACATAATTAACATTAAACTATAAGAGATTCAACTTTTTTATTTTCTTTTCTCCATCATATACATCACAAAATGGACATTCCAGCATAAAAAATGTTCTTACATATAATTAAATGCATTTTCCAATCTTTTACTTGATTAAATAATTTGACCAATATTATCACAAGCTTAGGCAGTGTTTCATATAGAATTCATATTAGCATAAGCATAAGCTATTTTTCCTCTTCATTATTATAACCAAAGTTTATCCTAGTTACAAACTTAAACCTCGTTAATAAATAAAACCTTTCAAAATTACTAATTGATTCAAGGACCCGGGACATTTTATCTTTGTCCTTTTACGGAAATAGGGACTTGTTAGCAATATTAGAAGTAAACTATTTTAGTCATAGGTGGTAGTTTTTGTATTTAATACTTACAATTAATTCTAGTAGAGGAACGGATATTAGTTGAATTGAAAATATATGAATCTATCATTTGATTGAATAATTGATGCACATTAAAGATATTATTTTTCTATACATGATATTAATTTGTATGCAGTATAGTGCGAAATAGGAAATCTGACCTTATACAATATTCTTGTTGATTAATGTGAAAAAACTTATACATGTTTTATGTGTGCTTGTATAGACAATATTATGAGTACAATATTAATTAAGTGTTATCACAGCGAACCATTTCTTGTACATACTTGGACAAAAAATGGAAGTCTATCTTAAATATAAAGTATTTTTTAATCAACTGTACTAAATCTAGGAAACAATTTTTCTCTGTAACTGTACAGTTTTTTTTTTTTTT